AAGATAGTTTTCGGGGCAACGTACCAAAGTTGCAAATCTCTCGCACCGGCGCATGGCACGATATTAATATGCGCCTCCTCAGCAGAGCTGCCCTGTGAATAGGGAATATGAGTGGCCCGAATGTGTCCAGCAACGTCGTCAGGCTCCAGGCCGGGTGATATGGTGACAGTCGATGCCCGCTTGGCAGTAAGGAAGCCCCGTCTGATGCAGAGCGATTGCGATTATGGTTCGACTTTTTTGGTTGTGCGGCTTGAGAGCTGAAACTGATAGAAGGGGACTCCATCGGGGGTCGTTCTTGTTCAGCCCCTTCTTTGGCCTTGTTATTCTCCCAATAGTCATCAAGAAGACTGGTATTCTTGCGATCTTGGGCCAATTTCCTGATACATAGTCAGTAACGATATTCCCACCCTGCTCTCGCAAATGTGCACTTACGATGCAATATCCTTGAGACCTTCAGCATGTCTCCAGGCGCGGCCTAGGCGGCCGTAGCTGAGGGGCACCAAGACGCCGACGGCAATCATGCGCGCATGTCGAGCCTCCTCCTCGTCGCATGGCGTGTTGATGAAAGCGCTGAGACCAGCATGTTCTCCCTCGTGCACAAAGTATATCAGGTCGTCGGGGACAGTGTGCAGACCCGAAGGCAAGCTCTTATACTCGACGAGGCCCTCGAGTTCGATTCCGGGAGCGGATTGTTTCCAAACAATGGTATAGCCAGCTTTGACGTCAAAGTCGATGAGGAAGAGGGCGGATATGGGAGGGAGTTCGGGTTGCGCATTGCCCGTCGGCAAGCGAACTGAGAGGGGGGGTGGTTCCCGTCGAGAGGGCATGGTCGCGGAATGGCAGCGGGCTCTAGGTCACTCTATGGCAGCAAGGAGATGCGCCAGTGACCGAGGCGCTGGTCGTTTCGGCACTGGCTGTGAGGTTAGTCGTATATGCTATCCCGGCAGACGACAGGCGGTAATATCGAAGATGGTTCCGCGGTAATGTGCGATATGTTTGACGAATGTCGTGCGATCAAGGTTGCGAACTCCTCGCCGTCGGGCGACAGGTACCGACGCGGAGCTCAGACAGACCCCAGGCGGACGCACCGGGTAAAGATCTTAGTCAGCATTTCGATAGTGGGTTATCGATAAGAACCCCCTGCCATCTGGACATGCACGGATACCCTGGCCTGGCAGCTTGGACCAACGTCCACTTTACCTTAGCCATGTCGAAGATTAGGTAATTCGTGAAGGGCAGTTCGGCATCGAGAGTCTGGAATTGCTAATAATGTTCAAGTGAACATTAATGGTATGGGCGAGAGAGTCCCAATGAGAGGCTGTGGTTTTGGAAGTGACATTTGTCGCATTTGCTGCCAACCTCTACTTGCCCAAGATCCTCTGCCTTAGTTAGGTAAGGCAAATCCAACGTATGTATGATGGAGGGGCTCCGGAGACAGAAACAGCGGGTTGAATCAGAATCTGAATCTGAATCGCTGGGGAAGAGTGCAGGCCCTGACTCCTGCCACATGCTTTTGGGGCACCGCAAAGTGACCGCATTGAAGGAGGAGGAGGGGAACATTCTTTGCCCCACCTCCACATGCCTTTTGGATGTCAGGGAGGCACGACAGTCTAGACTTGCAAGTTTGAACACCTTGATGTAGGTAAGGTAGGTATGCCTTCAGAACTTGCCTATGCACTTTACACGTGCAAAGCGCGCCAGTCACCATCCCGTCTGAACTTGCCTTGTTCCCCAACCCTTTCAACCGCCGGTTCAGCATTCAAGCGGCGTCCTTACTTAAGCTAAGACATTCAATGCACTAGGTAGCTGTGGTGAGTACCTAGGTAGTACGGAGAATTCGTCTCAAGGTTTGATGTCTGTCTCTACCCGCCCTCCTCTCTCTCATCAGGTGTCCCGCTGGTCCGCCATCTGCACTTCCCAGTCAGCACATGGTGGACGTTAGACGGGACAATGACATGTGCTAGCGGCCTACCGACAGGAGATCAAGAACAATCAGGTCTAGCGCCCATAACGGTCTGGTCCTGGACATGTCCCGTCCCCAACCGCCTTAAAAAGCCTAGGCGTGATGACCTTAGGGTTGACGGTGGCTTAAAGACCACAGATTACCTTAACTAGGTATACCTCTGCAACTCACGGCAAAGCAAGGGACCGTTTTATGGTTTAGGTGCTACAAGGCACAAGGTCGGCGATTTGGACCAATCCAGTCATCGCCGGCTTTCCGAGTCCCAACGACTTGAACCTCCGGAAGTCTGGAGGGGCATTTTTTCCCCAGGACAGCCAAAAAGTCATCCCACCAAAAAATATTTGTCTGGGACACCAGCCGACAGGGAACCCCACACCTTTCCTGACAGAGTATTTTGTGGTAGTAATAGCTTATGTACCTACTTCGTAAGGTAGCCATGGATGCTGATGACCCCCCGTCACGACCCATGACCACAGTCACCACACTTCGGTTGATTAACGGTTGTGACCAGGGCCCTTTCCTCTCAGTCTCGGCCTCTCAGTCTCGGCCTCTCTATCTCTCTCCCCCGCCAATCCAAAGAGCTTGAAGTGCGGTGTGCAGCACCATGCCACCAATATCCGTACAATTTACCGATCCCGTCCTTGCCATACCTTACGGAGACCTTCCAGTTGCCAGTGCCCATTCATGATCCTGCCACTTGGCGCTTCCCGTTTCCACTTCTTGCAGTTCTGTGACCTGTCGCAAGCTGACTCTGACTTGCCTTAACTTCTTCTCGCTAGTCCGCGCCCACCAATTTCGATTCCCTTACATCGTCATTGCGAGTCGAGTCTCTCTCTCTCTCTCTCTCTCTCTGTCTCTGTCAACCTAACCTCACCTCCCACCTTCTCTGAGACACACATTCATACGGATACTTTGTGCTCCTATCCACCCCCTGGAACATGTGTCTTCGGAAGCTGTAGCCTTATCCTCCATTTCTTCCCTCTCCATCTCTCTTCCTAGCATCTGTACTGCTGGCCTGTCATCGTTCCCCGGAGACAGAAACATCCCATCGTTTTGCCGCGCCCTTGCGACGATCCTCCGTTCCACGGCCTCAACCCCGCCTCCAAACCCTCCCTCCTCAACACATCCGCCCTCCCGAGGCGCGCCCCAAAGAAGCTTAACGCACGCCCAGTCCGATTTCTCAATCGCCTCCAAGCTTCCGCGCGCCTGTCTCCTTTTACGCCCATCTGCCGCCGTTCCTAATCAGCCACGCACCCTCCATCGCCAGCAGCCATGTCGGCTTTCCTGGGCTACATTTACTCCTTCTTCAAGGGTTATGCCGCCCTCGTCGTCGCCCTCTATATGTTGTCCTTCGTCGTTCCCAAGGCCGCCTTTGGCGCTCGTGTCCTCGCATCGTACATCTCGCTTGCCGTAGCGGCCGGCTGGGGTGTCTTTGCCTCCATATTCCTAACCCTCATCGGCGAGCAGGGCATTGCGCAATGGATGACCGGCCGCTTCTTGTACTACATCATGGCCGTCACCACGGGCGTCACCTTTGAGGTCGTTGATCCTAACCACATTCTCGACACTACCCGCCCTGCTGTCTTTGTCGGCAACCACCAAACCGAGCTCGACGTCCTGATGCTGGGTACCATGTTCCCCAAGTACTGCAGCGTCACTGCCAAGGCCTCCCTCAAGAAGACGCCCATTCTCGGCTGGTTCATGAGCTTGAGCGGCTCCATTTTCATCGACCGCAAGAACACAAAGGATGCCAAAGATGCCATGGCTGGCGCTGCTGAGCAGATTCGCAAGAGGAATCAGAGCGTCTACATGTTCCCCGAGGGCACCCGCAGCTACGCCAAAGATCCCGTATTGCTGCCATTCAAGAAGGGCGCCTTCCACCTTGCAGTTCAGGCCGGCGTGCCCATCGTACCCTGCGTTGTCGCCAACTACAGCCACGTACTCTATCTCAAGGGCCTCATCTTCAACTCTGGAAAGATCCCCGTCAAGGGTAAGTGCTCGGCTGTCTATGTGTCCTCCGGCCGCCGAATGCATGCTAACGTAGAGTTGCGCAGTCTTGGACCCTATCCCCACCACTGGCCTGACCGCTGCCGACGTCGACGAGCTCACCCGCAAGACCCGAGACCTGATGTTGGAGGAGCTCGTCAGCCTGACCGAAAAGGCCCAGGGTAGGCCTATGAAGGTTGCCCACGATGTCCCTTCTGCGAAGACGACCGGAACCGACGCCACGGATACCATCTCGGCTCTTTAAACGCCTAAGACTTTGCGTAGGCCAAGAGCCTTGGTTCTAAAGAGGCAATGTTGGAACCTTCCCATATCGAGGGCGGGCATCTCCAAATAAACACATACAACTCGTACAAAGATTAAGACGGGTCAGATGGCAACATCTCCATCACAAGAGGCTTCAAACAGCAAGTCAACATGGTTACGGGTAGGGTAGGGTAGTTAGATTCAGGTGGGTGGGGGGCACGTCTTGATACCCTATAGACCGAAAGTACTTGCATTTCTCTCCTTACTCGATTGACCTCTCACCAGGTCCCACGGGGTTCGGGAATCTAGACGTTCGGCATGACATGTAGATGAGATACGGCGTGCAGGCAGCATCCTGTTCAAAATGATATTTAACGTTCAACTTATGAGGAAGTCTTTGTGCATTTGACGTGAAAAACAATTTCTGTAAGTAGCACAACCGCTACCTCTTTCCGAAGTGACGATGAAGCTTTTACCCATCTATATACACCCAACAGCCCAAGCTTCGCCTTCCGGTCAATTGGAAAATATGCAAGATTGATTCTCATCCGGAATATCATTCAGGGTTAGCTGGCTCCTATTCCATCTCAAGCTCGACAGCCGTGGTAGTGATATACACCATCACCGCCTCTCCCCCTTTGCACCTGCGCTTCTCCTCTGTTGATGAACAATGCTGATTTTACAAACCCGTTCCAGGAGGCTCGTCTGATGAAGCTTTATTGGTCACTCAACACTGAGCAGAGACATGTTCAGCGACATAGCGATGAAAGCAATTTATTCGGGGTTTTCGCAAAGTCTAATCCATGCTGCTATCATAATCCCATTCCCTGCCCATCCGCTACGTTCAAAAAGCAATTCCAACCTAGCATTTTCCCCTTGCCTCAAAGTCCGGAAGAGGCATGCGTCAAGTCTGTGTTGATGATCAAATCATCTTTACCTCTGAGATGCATGACAATAGTAAGCCCTTCGACTCCTAGTTCGTAGTCATCTTCTTGGTTGACGTTGACACCCACGTCCACGAGCCCAGGCGCGTCACGTCGTTCCCGAGACACAATTTCCGCCTTCAACTCCCGTACTTCCGCTGTCAGATTCAGATATCTCTCCTTCCAAGAGCATGTGTGATTCGATGGCATGATCGGTAGAGGACTGAAGATCTCAACCGCGTCGTCAAGGGACCGAGATAATCGGGTCACCGGCTGCACGCCGCTGTTATCAAGGGCCTCCTCGGCTTCGACCGTTTCCGAAGTAGAGTAGGTAGCCTCCAAAGTCCGGGCGACTTGGCTTACAGTCTTTGATTCCACCTTCGTTGTCGTCGAGGTTCTCGAGCTCGATCTTTGGGAGACCGATTTCTTCATCTCTTCAAGGCGCTTATGCCTCATTGCATAAGCTTGGTCCTCCTGTGCGCCTTGCTCCGTGCTGTCGGTCCCCTTCGCAGAGGTTGTGGCACCATTCGATGATGCACTCTTCCTCTCCTCTGAAGGGACATGCGGTGGCGATGGTTTATCGTGACCACATGAGACGCAACTGTCCGCCCGCTTGCGATCGACATGATGTGTATGGTGTACCTCAGAAGACTCTGCCTCTGTGGCTGAGACCTTTCGAAGCTGCGATCTCCACGACTCAACGTCGGCGGCTTTCTGTTCCTGAGCTTGCTGCGATATGTTCTCCTCTTTATGCACACGACGCAACGGTCTCTGTAGCCACGGAAGCGGCTCCTTTTCCGCTTCCAAGTTTGCCTCTTTGTGAACCTTCTTCAACTTTGGCCACTGGATAGATGCCCCGCCTGTTGGGGAACTGAGCTGCTCAAATTGGCCCTGGATCAAGTGACCGCTACTCTTGGCACTCTGTAGAGAGGTCGCAGATGCCGGGCTGGCTGTCTCCGCGGCGGAATCCCGTCGGCTTGGCGTCTTCATATGAGGAGAACTTTTGGTCCCTATTGTAGCCAGTCTGCTCTTCGTGCGATCTGACACCTGGCCTGGGCTCTTGAGCCATGATGGAGAACGTGAGAGTCGTCCCCCAGCACGGACAGACAAAGACTCTGAGCCTCTCTTCTTGACGGGATCTACGTTCAGAGACTGTGACCTCTCGAGGCCATGAACGTCCTAGGCCCTGGCGTGCTCGCTGTTTTCGGCCATCGCCGCATCGAAGCTAATCAGCTTCTCGCGATCAGTGTCAGGACCTTCGGTCCAGGATTGCATCTGCTGTTCAAGGGGTGCGGCGTATTGAGAGTTCTGCTTGCTTGCTGAAATTCCAGCGGAACCAGTGGCCAGGTGCTCCATGATGTGCTGTGCACGTCTGAGATCTTCGGCGTGATGGTACATTTGGTCAATCTTGTTTTGGACGGGATCCTCCAGCGGAAGATGCGGCCGCAGCGGCTCCGAGTCATCCATGTTTACTGAGCTCTGCTGCTCCACGATACATGCAATACTGTGGTGGCCAGAATGATGCCCGGCATGGGTGGCATTGCACCTTGGATTCCCATAATCTCCGTGTGTCTCTGCGACGTTCAGGTCCGTTTGCCTGGGAACGCAATCTGAAAGCCTTGATGCTTGTCCGGCGCGAACCGTCATGTCAGTGATCTGAGGTTCGGCCGTAGTGATCTTCGTCATCCTGTCTGCGAGTATGAAGGGGTTTTCATTGAGATTGACCGAGGTGGCCGGGGCCCTCTGGTTCTTCTTCGATGTCTCGGTAGCTTCCAGGCTAGAGGATGATTCAACATGCTCCTCTGTTAACCTTGAGGTGTGATGCTGACCGGCTACAGCATTTCGATGAGTACTCTCGGTATGCTCAAAGTCGATTGAGCCATCGTCTGGTATTTCGCTGGCACATTGTGGACACACCGCATGGCCGCATGTGGAGCAGAATGTGCGAGAAGTCACCACGGCGCCGCAGGAATGGCACGTGTTGAGAACATGCCTGGGAATACTGTTGGTTCCATCTCGGTGACGCGAAAAATCCTCTTCTTCGTCGTCAGAGAGCCATCCCGATGGACGGGAGATGCCAAATTCTGCAAAGATGTCCCGAGCATGGCGTTTTCGAATGGTCGAAGTAGTGAGCTCAGTCCCGTACGACTGGGTGGAGGAAACAGAGTGATTGGAGACGTGTCGTGGCTTCTGCGGGCTTGATGCAGTCGACATCATTGCCATGGGAATCTTTGGAGGCCGATTCAGCGTTCTGCTCGGCCTCGTTCGAAGCCGGCCAGTTGAAGCGGCCTGGCGAAGCTGCATAGAGTCTGGGTCGGCTACTCGCGGAGGAGTGAGGTACATTGACTTCTGCAGACGTAACGCAGGTATGGCGGCTTGGCTATTGCTTCTGGAAGCTTGCTTTGGACTTTGTCCAAAAAACGAGTGGTCTTGAGACGGGACCCTGGACTCTGCGGTTTGAGTGTTGCGCGTTGCTGGTCTCGCGAAGACCTTGTTGGTACGTTGACCCTAGCCAGACCAAGTGCTCTCGCGTTCCCTCGCGCCTAGAGGTGATGGTTTGCGGCTCATTACACGAGTAGAAGGTCGTTTTGAGAACTTCTGCCGTCGGGCAGAAACAAGGCCCTCCGGGATGTCACCATCGTCGGGATCCGTTGCGAAGACATTGGCTCGGGGCGGGGGGACGTCGTCAACGAAGGGATCTTCCATATTGAGAAACAATGGGTAATGATTGAATAATACTGTATGATGTCGTGGGAAGTGCAAATTGGTACTGTAATGGATGGGCCGTGGGGGGTTGAGAAACGATGCTCCTTGACGGGCGATGCGGAACATTACCTAGGGAAGAGAATTTGCCTCGAGTGAGGTCAGGATAAGTAGTTTCTGGAACGAGTCCAAAAGGCAGAACGCAGGCAGGGGCTTCTCTTGAGTAGGAGACAGGACCGGCCTGGTATCTGGGGTAGCCTCGACCCGTGTAGTCACTTCGTGGAAGGACCGTCTGATACATGACGCAACATCCATAGCATGCACGCAATGATGGTTTTTTTGAGAGAGAAAGAACGCTAGAAACGTCGCAAGTGGATTCAATTATGCGATGTTAGATAGAGTTAAGGGAATCCGAGTCTTGATGTACAACGTCATGTGTCTGCCACGACCTTCTTTTACACTCTATTTCAGGGCAGCCTGGAGGCTCTCAAGAACCTACAAGAGTACAGTCAGCATATTTTCTCTGTCTCTCGGGCGTTTTGCTCTCGGAAGGTAACTCACCTCAACCTCAATCTTCGCCTCGGCGATCTCCAATTCGCTTCCGCTGCCGCTGGCGACCTTCTGGGCCTCAGCGAGCTGGGACTTGACAGCCTCGGCGCTGAAGTCCTCAATGGGGTATCCCTCGGTGGCGTTGATGCTGAGAACGGAGTTGGGCTGGACAACGGCAAAGCCGCCGGACACTATAAACACAGTCGTTGTCAGTTTCCTGCTATTCCCCTATCCCTTGAAAAGCTCCATCTCGGTTGTGACGTACGGAAGAACTGCTTGCTGGGGCCGCTCTCCTCGACAACCTCGACCAGACCGGGCTTCAGCTGCTCAATGGCGGGAACGTGGTTGGCGAGGACACCCATCTCGCCGGAGTCGGCGGGGATGTTGACCTGGACGACATCCTGGGACTGGTAGATGGACTGCGTGTTGCGGTAATTAGCTCCGATCCTTCAATTGGCTTCCGCCCTGCATCCCCCTCGTGTCGTCGTCTCGCCTCTCGTTCAATGATCTCGGGTATTATCGAATTCGTACCTGGTGAGGAAGGGACAAGCTCAGCTTGATCTGCAAATGGTCAGCGGGTACTCGGGATGCCTCCGGCTCGGAGGATACAGGCTCGGGCTGCTTGCCTTGTCCGGGACGGCATCTGCGTAGGTTCTGCGCTGGAGGGGAGCGCGGAAGGCAGCAGGGCGGGCTCGGACGGCCGCGCGCGCGAAGCGGAAGGAGTTCATGATGGGCTGAGCTGGCAATGGGGATGTGTTGCTAGAGGCAGCTCGGGTGAGGTCGCAGGCAGGAATCTTTCGGCTGAGTCCATTCGCGATTCGGCTAGCGGGAGAAACTTTGGTCACGCCGCAGAACACATGACCCGCAGTGCACGGAGCAGCCCCGTTTAACCTCTCGTAGCTGTTCAAACAGGAAAGTACGCATTGACGCAACTTTATGCTCCTAAGCAGCATTTGTATCATATGCAGCTTCTGGACTTCAGTTTAATGATTTCTCTTCAACATCGTGTCTTCCTCATGTATCAAACGCATGTTGCATCTTCGAGATGCCAGCAAGCGTGGGCGAGACTTCTGATTTTGTGTTTGGTTGGGTAGCTTGAGAGTATATTTGACTGCAATAAACTCACTATTGTGTGCGACCTTTTCTAACGGATGAAAACTCAACTCGTTGGTGGTGCTAGATGTTCCGCAGCAAAGCATCAACTATGTGATCACCGGGCTCGTAGAATATACAACCACGTACTATACCGGGTCTTCCTCACATTCCTTCATTTTTATTTCATCTGCCGCACCATTTTTGACCCTATCAGTCTTCATTCTACTTTGCAAGTTGAATACATTCGCAGCTTGACGATGCAGCCGAAATGTCTGTCTTATTCGGGGCCTGGTAGACCTGTGTGGTCCCAATACCTTCTTCTACTGTAGCCACCATCGAGTATAAGCGTGATGGGTCAGCGGAAAGAGAGAAGGCGCTCCCGTGTATCCGTATTTTCATCCCATCTACAGAATACACCACAGACGATGCCCATATAGGTCCCCTCCATTCCGTTCCTGTCACCAGCCAGCAGGCGCCCGTCTAGGTCGACGGGTCAGGTCAAACTGGCTGGGTGGTGGAACGGTTAATGGTCAACAACAACTAATTACGCCCACAGCCTACTCGACGACAGGCTACGAGTTCGAGTTCGAGTTCGATTTTCCCAGCATGAGCACCAAGAGATGTAGCCCCCAGTTCAGCCCCGGGGGCGCGAACTCTTTTGTCTTTTTGGTCCAATTTTTTGCCGATTTAAGAATAACGTCTTTTATGGCATCTATCCTTTATACCACACCTATCGCAAAGAAGTCAGTTGTAATGAACTAAATGGAAACCCAATGAGGACAGCATTCTCGACTCATCGCGTCCTCTCGGATACTCGGATATCTATCTCGATCGAGTTGCTGTGGCCCTCTTACAAATAAACATGTGCCACTACGTAATTACAGTAGCAGGAGTGCATCTTGAATTTTGAGATACATGCGGGAAGGAATATCCGTTGTATGTCAAGGCAGTACTATTCAGGCAGCCGCAACCGTGAGCATGGCTATTCATTCCGCCTACCTTGATTCATCACTGTGGCCCAATCTCCTCACCGAACATCCATCATTCCTCGCACTATTTCCCTGGACCTCACTCTCAGGTCTATCAAACTTCAGCCGTTTGGTATGGAGAGGATATGGGCGTTCATGGGCAATTCTACTTCCGAATTCCTCACGGATATCGGGGTCGAATACGAGGGCATTCATTCGAGCAAGACGGGAAGAAGGTTTAGTGACCTACTGGTGGTGTCATCCAGAACATCGGAGCAAGATCAATCAGTTCTTGCCTTCGTGGGTCTTTTTAGAGAAACAAATTACTGTAAGATTGGACGTGGGGGATGGTAATTGCCAACTCTGTGAGTTCTGAGCCATCCGGACTTGACATCTGTAAGACGAGTCTATACATGGCAGCTCTCCCACTCCGACCTCTTGGTGAAACTTACATCTATTCCTTTACTTGAGACCTTCTCTAGCTGTAGTCGTACTTGCTTGCGAGCCATTTGGAGATAATCTGTTATGCCCTGTTGGCCATCTCACTTTCTCCCTGGTTAGCCAACACCACTCCCCAGGTACGTTCAATATAAGGAGGCTTGATAAACTCTCAGGTTAAATTAAATAAGTGAATTTTGCTGAACGGTTCCTAGTTGTTCCCACTTGTTTTGACGCTTACATTGTTCCGACCCTTCATTCTCTCATTATACAAAGTGTCGAGTTGGCGACTTCCCAAGAAGGATCCTGCCAAATGTTGTAACTCTTGCCTCGTTATCCCTTCGTGAACTTCAATGGTTGAAATCAATACATCGCAGATTACTTCACGTCCTGATGTCAAGCCTAATCATATGTCAAAGTTGGACGTCATACGCTGGCTGGCATCGTGTAGATATTCAACCATATCCTTTAAACGCAGCTATCTTAGCGATATGAAAGATGAAAGATGTCTATGACAAGTTCTTCAGTCCTGACCCATTGCTTATAGGGACTAGGAACGTACCCATGCAGGTACTAGGTTCAGAATGCTAGATTCTCAAGGCAAAGGTGCCATGCCAGCTAGCTACATGTTCTTCGTCTACGAATCGTTGCTGAACGTTTTCAACGGTACTGTTAATGACACCGAGTCACAAATGCATGCCTAAAGAACACTCTGAATTCTATAGAAGAACACGATACACCTTTCACATGGTCATTAAAACTACGTGCCCTTATCTACACGATACTTGGGGCGACTGGGAAGGAAAGTTGTGTGGATCAAGCAAATGCTGCTTCATGACGTCTAATTACACGATAAACATATCCCAATATACATCCACCAAATCACTATAAGACAGCATCTGCACCTGAATGTCAGCCATATGAAAGTATTACAGCAACGGCCCTGGATAGAACACATGGTCCCCGCAAGCTCTTCTCTCTTCACAGTCTGAAGACTACTTTCTATTTTGCGGACGAACGGAGTACCACTATTTCTCGGGCGTGCCCTGGCGGCGTAGAAGGAAGGTAATTGCACTAAGTGCTCGAAGAAACACTTGCTCATGGACTTGAATAAGGACTCAATTGTCCTAATCACTTTGAAGTCACAGTTCCCGCCTGGTATCAAAGTCAAAGGCACCTCATCGCCCAAGTTGCCGTCAACACGTAAGCAGAGGAAAGTCAGCATCAAACCACATGTCAATCGTGTCTCGTCACATTTCACTCGCCAGTCAGCTTACCTACACAGGACTCACATGTCCAACCTCATGACTGATTCCTGTACTCACCTGCTTCGCCCTACGTAAGCAACAAATATGGCATACGACCTCGCAGCAGCCCGATATCTGACGATACACGACATGCCACGCGAGGAGAATATCAAAGTAGGCAACTGACTCGTCAAGTCCCGCATCAACACCGATGATCGAACTTGGCTTTCGTTCCTACACCCGCGATGGACCATTGGACAGTGGCTGGCATACGTTGCTTAGCCTCAGACGAGGCAACAAGATTGACATGTCCTCCTGCATCACTCGTGACCGACGATCACCAACAAGGTACCGTCAATCACTTCCACATACAACCCGTTTCGACCTCTACCATCAAACCACAACCGTAACCGCCACGTTCTGATACTGTCCAAATGGGTTCAACGATCATCACGCCGCTGAGGATCTTTACTCTACGTAATTTGGATAAACCTTTTGACCAAAATACCATGCCGGGCAAAGATGGCGAATCTACAAAGAATGTACCAGAGTACCAAAATTATCCGACTTAGGAAAGAGATACCTTGACACTTGGCGACAGCATCTGCCCTCCTTTGAAACGAAACATTTCCAAGCCGCAATGATCGACACAGAAAAGGACACCTAAGAAAAAAAAGGGACAAAAGAAGGTGGACAGCGATCTACACTTTTCAGAGGAAGCACCAGCCACACACACATCATGCTGAGCCTTGAAACCGGGGAAGCCGTCATCGGAGGGAAAGGGCCAACGAGGCGAACTCTCCTTCGGCCGATGACGCTCCCCGATTCTCTCATTCTTGGTTGCCCTGGGGGGCCATGCAAGATATCCCTCCCTCCCAGAACCCATGGAGGAAGTAAAGATCCGCGGCTCATGAAACCTCGCCTCAGGTTTTCCACGAGGCACGGGAAAGAGAGAGAAAAGAATCGGTCACGCTTCTCACCATCCGTGACTCGCCATTCTTTCGATGACCGAGCTTCCGGGGCCCGAGAACCGAGGAAAGATGGTGGTTGTGTGTATGCACCAAGGGACGAGGATCAAAGAGTTTGAGCCTCATGGTATATTTTCTCGACAACCACTGACGGCAGTGACGGCACTGAAGGTTGGAAGGCTTTCCTGCCTTCCTCTCAATGGCCATGTGGTCGAGGTTCTTCCCTTGAATATTCTGGAAGGAACCGAGAGGGGGAAAGAAAGGTCGACGAGATCAGACGAAGGTGAGGCATGTGCCATTGCCCAAAATCCTGTGGCCAGGTGACTCGATGCCCGATGACGATTGGGCAGTCTCTGTCGAGAGCAAGCCCAAACAGTTCGCTCTCGTCTTGTCAAGCTTTTTTTTTCTTCCTGTTCTTTCCTTTCCTCGGGACGAAATTTCAGAAACGTTCATACGAAACGCCGACAAGGGGCATCATGGCGAAACCCCCATTCGCGATTGAACAGTAGCAGGCCAGTCGAGAAAGGGCGATGGAGGAATGGGGGCGCCTCATGCTTCACCTTCTCCCCTTCAGCACCGAGAAGACCGTGACACTCCTTTCATCCTCCGTGCCTCCGTCGAACGAACCGAACCTCCAAAGACCCTGAAATCTAATTTGACCACACCACAACCTCGAAAAAAACCACAGCCAAACTTTCCCAGCTTCGAATTACCACGGCCCAACGAGCTCTGAGACATTTTGTCCTCCCTGTGTAAGGCGTGTGTCCTCCCCCCCCCCCTCCCCCCCAAAAGTCTCGAGCTTACGAGAGTCAATTGCTCCTCTCAAGCCCCTAAAAATAATTACGGTCAACTGAAAGAAGAAAAGCCCACGCCCACAGACGTAGGACGTGCCTCGACGGGGAAATCTAGCGTGTTAATAAGCTCGTAAGCAAACACAAATAACAACAATCTTGTCGGAGCAGTGACCGGCGCTGTCAGATGCAATGTGGCTGGCTCATAGTGAAGTGAAAGGACTCTGAGGAGTAAGTGTGGAATTTTAGGCCCGACCTTCATCCTCCCCAGGCTGCCAAATAATTTAACCAACACCACCACCACCAACACGGGGGAAAACAAGTCTAGGAGGTCTGGAGTTTCCCAATGCGGCCTCCCGAGAACAGCCCCCTAAGGCTACACCACTCCAATACAGCAGTCCCGGCGGTGAAGCGTAGAAGGGGGGAACCGCTACCGCTAGCCCGGCAGACATCACATTCCTTTCGTCTCCAGAGTGTCGGAGCTTTCTCCTTTGGTGCGTTTGGTTTTGTCGCAGAAAGGGGGAGGAGGAAATGGAGGGAGGAATCACCGCTCTTCCTCCCAGTAGCGTAGCTTCCATGTAGATGGTTGGCTTCAGTTTCCCCAAGGATTTGGGTTGCCCACGCACCACGAGTTGGGTGATCGTCGCAAATCGTCGCGTGCGCTTGCAACCCTCCCCCGAACTCTGACCGCCCACGGGCACACAGCTTTCAGCAAAGCTGCTGCTGTCACATTTTCATGTGTCAAGACAGCTCTTCACACCAATGCCTGGGAGTGGGTGCGGGCTACCTTACACTAGTAGAAGTAGTTTGACGACACTGCGAAAGAGAATAAACACTCCCCAAACCTGGAATAGGGTATTGCGAAGGGAGACTGCACTAACAGAAAAAGAGCAACGCAAAAGCAGTAGAAGCTTACACTGCAACTCTAATGAAATGGCTAACACTTCCGTCCTACGCCTTTCTCGCTTTGCTAGCCCGCTGCTTGCCCACCCCCCCGCGGGAGAAGAAGCAGTGAGCTTGACGACACGAGTGCATAAGTTTAGCAGAAATCATACCTAAAAAATCCCAAATCGATCGATCAACGAACGACTTTTGGGCCCCCGGATTTGGGGGAACCTGTCGATCACTTTGGCTGCGTGTCTCTCTTTTTCTTGTCCCCCTCCCATCCCCTGGCGGGCTTCGTATGCAACTTGCAATGCTGACCACTTGAATTTCCAACGCTACGCGCCGCTACCGCGTGAAGAAAGGTTCAAACGTTTGGAGATGGGACAGCTGGCGTGCGTCGCAATCGCTCCGTCTCTACCTCCCCCTCCCTCCTCGTCCCAGAATGCGGGGTATTTCGAATAACCCGACCGACCTCCCGACAGGAAAGCTGGCGGGCCGGGGGGGAAGCAGATCAGGGATTTCGACGCGGGGGGTTTTCTGTTCTCTTTTTTGAGTCTCTGGCGACATTTCCGAGACTCCGGGCTTGTAAGTCGCTTGGAAGGAAGGGGGATATGGGGGAAGCCACGACAACTCAACGCGCATGCGGCCTGAGCTGAGGAGAGCTAGCAACACCTCGCATCTGACATCCCACGCTTCATGGCGGGGTTTTCCTACCATGGTCATGGACACGCCAGAGAGGTGCCATGTCGTCAAGCACATGCGGTGACGAAATCTCCCGTCGCCGCCGCTGTGCTAACCACGACCAGAGTTTTGGTGTTCAAGAAGGTTCTCCTACAAACGTAGTTCTCATCCTGATGAAATGGCATCGGCATGACGACTGCCCACTTACAAGTCTTCCGAGTTCGTCGTCCCCCCACCTCGGAGGACGGAGGTAGAGGGGCAACGAGCAAAGCCAACGAGCAAAGCCAACGAGGCCGTTCCCAGCAAAGTACGAAATGAGAGGAGGTGCCGTAAATGCCATGTAATCACCGCTCCTCCTCCTCCCCTTTAGTTCGACAATCTTGCCAGCGATAAATCTTGCTTTTCTGCTCGCGCTTGTTCAACGCCCGCTGGCCACCTTCCCCACATTGAACAAGCCCACCTTAGAACTTCTCGGCGAGCGTTGATGAAGCAGCATGGGCACCGAGAGCCTAGAGGAGGGGGCGGGTAAAGAAACATGGGGAGGGGTGATCAGCATCCATCACGGCCGGCTCGGCGCTGGGGAAGGAACAAGAGTAGAGTCCGCTCGGCCCAAAGACCAAGACGACATGCCGGGAGGTCCGCTGGAACATTGAAACTTATTCGTTTTCGATATCTCTCGATACCATCTGTCGTCTCTTGATGTTGTACTCGGATTCTCAATGCCAAGAAGTCGAAGCCTCACTTATGTTATGTGAAGTGACTCTCTTCCTCTTCTTTGTTGCTTTGGGAGAGGTCGGGGCCTCATTGTATGAAGTCTTGTCGCGCGAGGACCAAAAGAGGGTTGATTCGGAGACCGTTGGATCTCTTGGCAGTGGTGCCCGAGTGCCAGATCTCAGTCTCCTTTCGCCCTCTTACACTACCTCCTCAGGGCTCCTCTCTCTCACGGAATCTCTCTGCGCTGGCCTCCCGAAACCTCAAACACATACTAAGCGGCCGGAATCGGTCTAGGGCGGAAACGGGGGGTCACGGACGGGCCATTCTCGCGATGCCCGCGGTGCTGGCGCATCCACTCAGGGCCGCAATCTGCGAGTTCCGCATCCGCATTGAACACCTCTTCCTTTCTCTTTGCTGTGCACCTTGCGATGCCAAGGAGTCGCAGCACGCAGCACGAAGAATAAGCTGTCGCAGAGTGTTGGCTGCCGTCATGCTGCATGCCAATTCTCCAAGGCTGAGTTGAGTGAGCTTGAGCTTGAGCTTGAGCCTGAGCTTTGCATCATGGAACGGATGGCCACGGGATATCTCTCGCATTTGGGGGGGGGATCCTGCATGCCAGCGGCTTGCCGGCAAGGTACAGCTGCATTCAATATCACCAGCTGCAGGCAGAAGCTCAGAGGACGCTCGGCTTATGATATAATGAATGTCACAGTTTCCCTGGGCGGTTGATGGCGGCGCTTCCAGTGACCCGAGACTTGGCAACCCGCGATGCGCCGGGCGAGTCAGGAAGAGGAATGGTCCGGGATGAGAGGCTGTCGGACCGAAGCTTGTTCTCTGATGATGGGCGGTGGGCTTGCAGGAGGAGTAGCCACTCTCGTGGAAGTGAAGGAAGCCCTTCTCCTCTTCTCCAACAGTGGATGGTTGACATTCCTTCGAGAGAGAGAGAACGACACAAGCTAAAAGACAAGGATTTGCATGTGGAAGCACAGCCCGCCGGCTGTCGGACGAAGCAGCTAGCAGCGCCCTGCATGTCCACCATCAACGATCAAAGGTATGCCAACTTTGCACCGCCATTGCCCAGTGTGTAGAAACCGGGAAAGGCACAAACGTAAACCAAAATAGCGCTATTAAAAGCGTCGATGGAGATTTGTTTTGTTTGGAAGGTTTGGGAAAGATGAAGCGACCAACTACCTAGAGCAGAGATTCCATACTTTCTTGGTGTTGATGGGCGCGGCCGGCACTAAGGGTTCATTCTAGATGGTGCGCAACGACAACAACGGGCGCCGCCGCCGTATTTTTGGGCTTCGGTCCCCATGTCTGGTAAATGCCATTGGCAACGCGCATTGGCTGCATGGAGATCTAAAGGGCTGAGCTGTCTGAGCTACATTGCAATCCGAGACGGCCCCAACGGTCCTGTACCCAGCATCGAGGCCCCGTTCCGTCTGATGTTGGCGGCGGGTTGCCTGTACGTGAGATGGAGCAATCGAGAACCCAAGAAGTTGAAGTGCGTTCTTTTGGGTGTTTTCTTTGGAGGGATATCCCTCTAGACTTGTAAAAGTGCTCAGGAGCAGGCGGGAAAACGTAGTGTAAGCGAAGGGGGTGCAGGTTGCAGCTTTGCGGGAAGCGGGTGTACCTGAAGTTGTAAGACGAAGATGGCTGGTCTTTGCAGTCGGACTGAGCGCTGGGGAAAGGAGGAAAATGTCTCATTTTGATGGACTGCTTCTACGCAAAGCCAATGGGTGGCTCCTGCGGGCATACGGGGGGAAAGAGAAGGGACATTGAGTCAAGGCACTGCGTTTGGGGCTGCATGTTGTTGATGGTATTCTTCCCTCGGTAAGAACGGGTCAACAATAATATTGACACAACGGCATTCCGTGAATAGAACAGAACGGAGCCGAGTGAGAGAGTTGAGAGAAATAAACGACGGATGAGTTTGTTTGGGGCGCCTTTGGGGGGCCTGGAGACTGGAGTCACTTGACTGGCATACTGGCCACAGGGCAGGGTAGGTCAGGGCATGATGAATGAAGGCTGGGCAGAGAACGTGTCAAGGTGAAAGTCTGAGCTGGAGATTGACGAGTTGGAGCGTGGGATTCTCGACACAGGAATGGGGATGAGACTCGTGAAAAATGGGCCAAGGAAAATCGACGGCTGCCTCACGAGGACACCGACAACACAAGACAGCTGCACTGCATCTGCAACGCAGGCGGCTCTATTCGTATGGGTGTCGAGGACAAGCCCGAGGGGGTGTGGGGGGCCGACAAGTTGGGAGAGAGACACTGAGACAGAATTTCAAAAGCTGTTCTGAGTGGACGGATCACGGATGATGACCGTGACTGTGCGGAGTGGTGAGTCGGTGATTTGACGGTGTCGACATTTGGGGCCCCCGAAAGAAACTTGGAAAAAAGATGACTGGAGAAGTGAATTAGCTCCCGAGACCCAGGTGAACCAGCGGTGACCTGCGTGTCATACGAACAAGATATGGCAGACGCAAGTCACTTTTGATGAGATGAGACCAGGCCAGGGAGGGTGGGTAGGATGATGGTTGGTCAGACGGTTGGCCTGGCTTGAGTAATTACTGCGTACGAAGTACTTCGTGGGCCATAGTAGGGAATTGCAGATGCGAGATTCAAAAGATGGCGCGCGGGATCCGTTTCTTCCTTTCCCTTCCTCTTCCTCTTCGGCCCTGACAGGGGAAGCCGGCGTGGTACTAGCTTCGTTCCATCCTCTTCCTTGGACCTTGCCTTGCCGATGCCAGCTTCGACCTGTACGGAGTATTTCGCAAGTGCTCCTCTACCCGTATTTTGCCTTGAAAAAGCGGTTAGCAGAGTGATTTGAGCAAAGTGTGGATGTTTGACGGGACAGACGCAGCCACTGGCAGGACCAGCAATGGTCACCAACCAGAGGTGGAGAGAGAGCACTGGCCAGCGGGCGAGAGCCGACGAGGACCACAGCCATGCCATTTTCGTCGTGATTGTCGATTGAATTGTCGATGGGAGGACAGGGGGTGAGGAAGGGCTTGAGGAGCAAGGGCAGGGTGGTCGGCGTGGGTTGAGAACTGGGGAGGGATGTTGGATTGGGTACGTACCGTCAGCAAGAATGCGGATATGGACGTTCAGATAGGTACGTACCGTGGGTGGACGGATGGGGGTATTCGGGTGTTTGACGGTTATTCGTCGCAGAATTCCTGACCAATCAGAAAGCGATAATAAAGTGGAACACACAGTGAGGAGTTCCTTTCGTCTGAGGTCTCCGGGCCCCACCTGGCTAGCTCCGTTTTCGGCGCGAAGCTTGAACTTGCTTGGCGCGGTACCCGAGGCAAAGCGAGAAAAGTGCCGCAGATTCTATGAGAAATGGGGAAGCCCCTGCGAGCCCTGAACGACAGGCGTGTACCCGGACTAGTGTAGCGGTGTTTTTCGGGGGTCCCACCTCAGGGCCATTGACAAGTCGAACTTGACACTGAGTTTCCTTCTTTCGTTCCCCAATCCGTGCCACCCCCGGAGACATACGAGAGAAAGCCAGGCAGGCAGTCAAAGGAAAAATAAAAATAAATTCTCGAAAGAAGGGCGGAATCCCCACGGAAAATTAGACGAAGGAAAATTTTCAAGGGGAGACCGGACCGAGCGCCATTGAAAATTTGAGAGAAAAAAAGAGTTGGGGCCATCTTCACTCCGTGGGGAGTAGTGTATTCTGCCATTCATACTTTGTACCCGGGGGCGTAAAGCAGAGAATGTAACGAATGGGGACACCAAACCATGTCTGGACTCTGGACTCTAGAGTATGGACACTCGGGGAAAAAACAATTGCCAAAATTACCAAAATACCCAACACGAAACGAAGCTCTCGCCCTTTTTGGAGTGCGTATTGCAAAAGTGAAAATAAGGGCTGCGAGACTTGTGCTGAGGGAATAAAAAAAGACGCATCACAACAAAACCCTAAGGTACACTGAGTATTACTTCGGTGCTTAATTGGAACTTGCATTTGCAGTGAATTTGTTGTTGTCTGCTGCATCAGCTGCTTATCCTTTTGCTTCTTTGCCAAGGAATAGCTCTGGCATTCCGCATCAATCAGCACATGCCTCAGTCCGCAGCTTGAGCCTGCAGCAGCGCCTCACTCTGCAAGTCCGCCAAGATCTTCAAACACCTTACTCTGATCTCGCCAAGCCCAGCGAGAAAGGCAACATCCCCAATCTCATCCACTTTTTTTGCGCTTCATCCGCCTTTGCCCTTTGCTTTGGATCTTGGCATTCGCATATCAATCTACCTTACGGTACTCCGTGCAGACTACCTATTGGATCTCATCTGCTTAGGCTTTCTTTTTGCTTGCCGCTGCCACTGCCTCACATACACCATCTGGCATCCACCCCGCGTCTTTGTCTACGGGTAATACCCTTTTCGCAGGAAGCTTCCCGTCGTCTTCCCTGTCCACGGAGTATTCCCATTACAGACTGCAGAAACACCACGCACACCACACACACAAAGACCCCGAAAAACCACCTTAGACCACACACGCCAATTGCACCTTATTCTGCAGCCTGCGGCCTGCCATTGTTTCTCTTATCCATCACCCCGGCCCTTTCGCACACCTGACGAAAACCATTACCACCACACACACACACACACATACACACACACACACACTTCTCTCCTCCAATCCAAATCAACCAGGACGACGGATGGAAAGAGAGTACGGATACGCATTGACGAGCAATTCTACCACAAACGACTACCAAGAGAACCACCACGACCAAAACGCCCGCAACTCTCCTCGCGACGGATATCCATAATCCCACGCACCCGTCGACAACCCACTCTTACCGCATACTGAGCTGCATGCTGCGTACTGCGTACTGCGCGCGCCCACTTACGGATACTCTGTCTCCCTTTCTCTGAGGGTCTCTCAATCAATCAATCACTCACCTCACGCCCACTTCTTCCCCTCTCAGTCAGACGCTTCTCCCGACCTCCTGCTTGCCACGAAAACTCCCGCTGTCCTTTCGTCGCGTGCTGGAGCTGACTGAAGCCGCACCGCACCGCAACTCTTTCGGGTCTTCTAGCAAACGAGTAGCATCCACACCACACCACACAACAAGCACACACCAAAACCCACGCACACGCACACCAACACCACAGACAAATACCTACACACACACCTCTCAGGCCCGCACCACGTTCTACGTTCCACACCCACACCCGTCTACCTAGTACCTACACCTCCCGCGGCAACGGCAACATCAACAAGGCGGTAAAGGGATTTGCCTGCCCTTGACGAAAGAAAACTGGCCAACTGACCTCCCCTAGTCGCGGCCTCTACCCGTCGCCACCTATTTGGTCGCCTTTCCTCCCAGTCCCAGCAAGCAACAAGTCAGGCCTCTCCCAGCTCACTTCTCGACCACCTATCCGTACCTTACCGTACTTTTCTACCGTACTTTTCTACCGTACGGAGGCTCCATACGCACACTTCGGCAAGCCGCAAAGGAGACAAGAGCGCTCGAGCCCTCAGCCTCTGAAAATCCTGAATTTCATCCCACCTTGGTCCTCCAACTGCCAAGAATACTCCCGGAACCTCTTAAAGTTCCTCGCTGTCCGACCATCTATCCCAGCGCCCTTTCTTCTCTCCCTTTCACTCAGACTCACTCTCCCATCCTTTCCGTCTGTTTTCGCCATTTCCCTGCGCCACGCCAGGCCCAACGTCATCTGCTCGCCCAGCACACACCAATCCTTGTGCCCACGCCCACGGCCACACACAGCATAACTCACGCTCGCCCTTTTCATCTGGGATCTGCGCGCACGCCGATTTAGTTATTCATGTACCCCCAAGGACCCTGAATCATCGCACATTGAGCCAACGCCCGGTCATCCTATAATCTCCCTCATCTGCCCGGCAACTACTACTACTACTACACACATCACACTGTTTTCCTCGAGATGTCAGTTTTGTTCTTATAGCACAACGGTCCCTAGGGACACGATTTGATCTGCAGCACTTGTGTGTTTCGAGGCGATCTTCAGCTGCACGTCCTCTTGAGGGCACCCCCTCTCATCATATTCATACAACAAAACAACACCAACTACTACTAGAGAAGCTTCTCGCAAGCAGCCTCGCTACTACTACTACTACTACTACCACTACTACTACTGCTACTGTTACTATCCACAGCTCTTACGAAGTCGATCTTCGACCGGTTGCGCCTGCTAGAAGCATCGTTGAACGACTTGGCCTAGAATTATCAACCATTCGCCACACCTCGAGCCGAAAGCCTGAATCCCACCCCTGCACCCAACCTCGACCAACATCATCACCTCTCCACCATGACGCACCGAACAACACAACACGACGCTGCGACGTCAAATGTCCTGGCTTGGTCAACACATTGCGCAAATATGCCCTCCATGATAGAAGACGACGCCGCCGACGTCGACGAGCCGCCGGAAACGCAGCTGCCCATCTCTCCCATCACCAGCATGTTCAAGCGGAACCCTATCAGACGCACCACACTCGATCACAACGCCTCTCTGTTGACCAAGGCGCTCCACAGCCCTTCCGAAGATGAGGAGCCCGAAGCCCGCCCGGGTATGTCCTTCTTCGCCCGTCGTCGCTCCATGGCCAGCAACATCAGCCTCGCCTCCACCGCCGACTTGACGAGCGATACCGGCTTGACCAGCCCGTCTCGCGCCAACACTCCCAGCCCACCTCTTCCCGAGATGCGTCTTCTGAACATCCACGATGAGCCTGCCAAGGAGGCGCCTAAGAAGCGTTGCATTCAGTTCGCCTGCGCGGCGAAGCCCAACAAGCCCGTTGAGCCCATCCGCAGCCAGCCAATGGTCAAGGCACCCTCCGCACAGGAGCCTCAGCGAAGGTCCTGCATCAAGTTCGCCTGCCCAGTTCCTCAGCGTCCCGCTTCCACACAAAACACTCCTCCACAGCGTATGGAAATGGCGGCCGCAAGACTCCAAGCACCTGCTCCGGTGACAGCTCGCAAGACGCGTTCAAGATCTCCCAGACCCACACTCGCTGCTCCCCAGGTCGATGTCTCTATCAAGTCTCCCACCCCCAAGAAGTACATCACCGCCAACCCTTCCGACTTGAACAATGAGTCGTCTCAATTCCACGAGTTCGCCAGCGACATCCCCCGCGAGGATGACTGGATCCGCCAGGCCTTTTCATCCCAGGGACGTCGCATTACCATCGACGACACTCTCAAGAAGGAGAATGCCATTCGCAAGCTCGCTACTGAGGCTGAAGAGGAGGCTGAGCAGGAGGAAGAAGAGCTGGCCACCGCCATTGACGACGAAGATGACGAGGACCTCGACAACCTGGATGACGCTGACGACGATGAAGATGAGGGCGAGGATGAGGACGACGCTTCTGACGAGGATGACAATTCTGATGAGGATGACAATTCTGATGGATATAAGACGGACGAGGAAACCGGTTTCGCTGACTCTGAAGAGGAGGAGGAAGACGATGATCTCCGCTTGTGGACCCCTGGTCGCTCTACCATTCAGAATATCGACAGCACTCCCATCGCTCGCAGACCCTCTCTGCCTGAGCAGCTTTCGGACTCGTCCATTGCCTCTCACAGCAGTCTCCGCGCCCGACGTGGCCGTGCCCAGCGCATCAAGATCCGCCCCGGCACCCCCGAGCTTCCTGATAGCACCGATTTCGTCTGTGGCACTCTCGATGAGGATCGGCCCATGGAAGATGCCTACATGTCTTGCTTGGCCGCTCGCAGACGCGAGAAGCTGCAGCTGATCCCTCAGGACATTGACCCCAGCTTCCCTGCTTCGGACCCCGAGGACGAGGGTGAGGAAGAAATCTACAACCCCGTCCACCACAGCAGCGATGACGAGATGTTCTTCCACGGAAAGATGGAGGATCTGCACCACAAGAACGACCGAAGCCGTCGCCAGAAGAAGGCGGAGCACACTCCTCCCAAGCGTTTCCACTCTCCTCCGCCCATCAAGCGCCGCGCTTCTCCTGCCCCCAAGACTCGTGGTCGCTCCCCTCGCCGCCTCTTTGATGGTCCTTCTCCCCGCCGTCTGAGATCTCCAGCTCCTCAGATGCTGAAGTCTCCTCCCGCTTCTCCCCGCAACGGCCACGGCGCCATTACTTTCAAGACCTTGGCATCTCGCCCTGGTCTCACCGTTACCAAGTCTCTTCCTCGTCCTCCTTCCATGTTCCCCCACATGGCCAAGGCACGTCGCTCCAAGGCTCCTGCCAACGACGTGCACATTCGTGGCGCCATTGACATTGTCAAGGGTCTGGAGCGCAAGCGACAGCGTCGCAAGGAAAAGTTTTACCAAAAATACTGCAACCGCGCTCGCAAGGGACAAGTCCCCGAGCGCAAGCCTCATCGCGCCGGCCTCGGCTGTGAACGCATGAGGGAATTAGGCTTGCTCATGGCCGGCAAGATCGACCAGGGCAACTATGTCCTCTCTGTTTAGAAGGGGTGCCTACAACTACATTGGATGGAGTTTTTGATTTGCATTTACAGCGAGACCAAGACTTGTTTCGCAAGGCGTTTAGCATCGGATGGTGCATGGCATGGGTGGACTTCATGACATATATGAGACTATTTTCCACGTCTTTTTTGGACTGTACATATCACAATTTTTTTTTTTTTTTTTAACACCGGAGCGTCCTCGATGGACGAGGTGCTCCGTGCCTACATGGACTTTCACTTCATTTTCTTCATCATTTTGGGAGTCCAGCGGCATCTGGACTTGGAGCACGAATACCCCCTGGAATAGCGTGTATGAAGGCTTGTATGGTTGTCGAGCAAACACATAGCATTAGGTAGCCTGATCAACAACTGCATTCCTGCGAGATATCGCAGACCTCCAAATACTTTGTCTGTTCCTTTTGCCATGTGCCAATTTTGATAGCCGAGTATTTAAAATGTAGAACAGCAGCCTTGATTGGTGTTGGTGGCAACATTTGAGTGACTTGGTTCCAAGGTTGAATGACCATGAGAGCTAGGTAAGGTGTTTTTTTCTCATGTTATCGGACTACCTAGGTATTCATACAAAAAGGCCATCAGACTCATGCAAGTAAGGTAGCAACCTGGGGTTAAGAAGCTGTCAGTAACAAAACTCACTCGGCCTCATTCACCTGACACAGCCATCGGGCTTTCATATTGGTGAAGCCTTTCCTAAAGGAGAAGGCAACGAGTTTCGTTTCGCCTTGACGCACTCCCAGACTTTTTGCATTTTGTGTCTCCCGTTGTTCTAGCCAAGTTCCCAGACCGCAGTTGACAGCACTCGGTGCAGCTGTGGAGCATCTCCGATACGTGGCAGCCCCATATATAAGGCACACGCACCTCAACACACTGCAATTCGCAACAGCAAATGCGCCAGCGAGCACAGCCAGCACGCACCACATCACTCACTCTCCGTCCCCGACTCCCCTACCAGCTTCTCCTGGTAGCCCCCACCTCACTGACCACGAAGCCTAAAGGTGGCCCCCAGCCCAGCCAGTCCCGTCCCGGTCAGTCCAGACCCTGGGTACCTCGCTATTCGTACACGCCGCCGCCTTGTCTCCTGGGAGCAAAAGCCCGAACAACGAAACCTCCCCGACCTCAACCTACAGACTCCACCGTCATCCACGAACCACCCTCACAATACAGACAATAATCTCGCCCCTTCGTCGCCAAGATGTGGATTGTTGATTGGTGTATGTATTATGCCTCTTTCTCATCTTCATCCTTTGCCTGATCCCCCTTCCACCACCTGGGTTGATCTGCTGCGCGCGCCGCCTTCGCCGTAGCTTGTGGCCTACCATCCATCCCTGGTTGAATGATGACGAACTGACTGGTATTCTGTCCCTCTCTATATAGTCTACAACGTCCTCTCAAGCCTCGGCTTGCTCAACAAGCATGCCAAGCTTCTCTTCCTCGGCCTCGACAATGCCGGAAAGACCACCCTGCTGCACATGCTGAAGGTACGATCCGCCCGACACCCACCGGTTGCACCATATCGATATCACGAGCCTACCGGAGGTCGGATGCGCCGATATGGGATACCCTTGGGCTATGATATGGATGGGATAAACAGCTGCTAACAAGGTGATCAGAACGACCGTGTCGCTATCCTTCAGCCCACTCTTCACCCTAGTGAGTTATATCCCCTTCTGCAGCAGAGAGCCCAGTGACATGAGCTCTGCGCACGTGTCCAGAAAGCTAACCGCCTCGCCCCCTCCAGCTTCCGAGGAGCTCGCCATCGGCAACGTGCGCTTCACCACCTTCGATCTCGGCGGTCACCAGCAGGCCCGCCGCCTGTGGAAGGACTACTTCCCCGAAGTCAACGGCATCGTCTTCCTCGTCGACGCCAAGGACCACGAGCGATTCCCCGAGGCCAAGGCCGAGCTCGACGCCCTCCTGTCCATGGAGGAGCTGGCCAAGGTGCCCTTTGTCATCCTCGGCAACAAGATTGACCACCCCGACGCCATCTCGGAGGAGGAGCTCCGTCACCAGCTCGGCATGTACCAGACCACCGGCAAGGGCAAGGTGCCTTTGGAGGGAATTCGACCCATCGAGGTCTTCATGTGCTCCGTTGTCCTCAGACAAGGTGCGTTCGCTTTTCCCCGGAACACGGCGAGACAAGGTGCAGAACAGTTTGGCTAACGCAAGAAACAGGATACGGTGACGGTATCCGGTGGCTCTCGCAGTACGTCTAAGCATGGACCGACAGCTCTGGGAGGAGCTTGCGGGAGGTGTTTACGGCGGAAACGGAGTAGTACATGGACGATTTGGCAAGAATGGCAATAGGGAACGTCTACGCGGGAACGAAATTCATGGTGCCACGTCTACGAAAGCTCCGGTCAAGTGCTCCGAGGGGAGGGGTTTAAACAGAACAGAGCCCTCCTTTTGGCGTTTGCGAACCTGATATCCTTGGGGAACAACGGTTTAGAAGAGCTGCGTAATGGGCTGACCTGCTGCTATTGGGCATGTTTGCATCGGTCCATACGGAGGAGGAAGAGTTCCTCGGTTTGGCTTCCCAGATGGCTCTGCTCGGTCCAGTACTATCGGTCGAGCATCCAGCTTTAAGCCAGAGACGAGGCAGTTTGTACGCTTGTTAGGCTAGAATACTCATTGGGCTCAGGGATTCGGAATCTGGTTTATTTTCGTCTTTCAATCGTTAGCCTGCTCTGCGTAGCTACTGCTGCATCAACAACAACATTGACATAAAAAAACGTGGACAGTATGGCACTGCAAGGGCATCATTGGTTTGCGCTGAGCCTCGCAAGAAACACCTCGCATCATGGGGTTTCATGGAAACACGTCGTTGATAGTGATGGTGATGATGACCAAGGCCACCGTGTCCACGTCGTTGAAGGTTTTGGTCAGTGGCGGGAAACGGCGGGATACGTGATGAGGGACATACGCCAGAAGGGATTGTGGCGATGCTCTTTAGCATTCTACAAGCCACAGTGGTCTCTGAGATCAGCAACCGGCCGATTGTGTTTCCAAGATTTTTCTGGTCTCTATCCATTTGGGATTACGCTGACGTCTAGATGATTCACTATCTTTGAGGCTTGGTGTACGGAGTACTTTGGAAAAGTCACCACATGCCACAACATGCCAGGTACCTATCCTACAAGCCACTTCCGTCTCCTTCTCAGCCTTGCTAGCCAGCCCTTCAGGGATACATCGAGCTTTTTGGTAGAAGGGGGGGCCACGGGCGTAGTGAGGTGACATTACTTCCGAGGGGACGCCGGAGAGGCGGGACGGTTGAGACGGGGGCCGGATGGAAACATGAGGGGTGAGGGAGGGGGGTTGGCGAGCGGCCTTTGGGGATTTTGTTTCAAGGTGCCGAGTGGGTTATGGCCTGAATCTTTTGACATCTCCTCTTGACATAGCTCGATGCTTATACGGATACTTGCTGTCTATATCATGGCTGTGATATCAACACAGACGGTGGGATGTTTGGTGTTAGTCAACCTGCACTGGTGGAAACTAAGGTGGCCTTCCTGGCACTGCATCCCGCTAAAGTGCCTTAGATCAGGTATAACATCCACTGAAGAAAGTGAAGAAAAGTGACCGGGAGGGGTGGAAGAGGTGAAAGCTGCCCCCCTGCCACTTGACGGTTCATTAGCCGGGCGTGGGTAGGTTGGTACTGTACGAATGGAATAGTGGGCGGCCTACAGGCGGGCGGCCATTCACCACCCCCCCCCTGAGTGAGAGTCCACAGTGCTCCGAGGTCCCAACGGAATCCAATTCGAGCTACTGCCGACGTCATCCGACCTGTGGCATCACGGGCGCGCATTCCCTAGGGAGGTCTGCGCATCTTCGAGGAACCTGGGAGCAAAATGCCCGTGTTGGTAGTCTCCCCCCCCCGGCCGAGAGTGACAGACACACCACCCCGAGGCATCTCTAAATTCCCTCCCCAACAAATGCATCGAAATCACCCGTCGATCTGCAGATTAAGGCAGTAGCCACGTTCTATTCCGACGCTTACATCCTCACGCAGCTGTTCACCCACCACGCTACACGCAATACGCCCGCATTCACATACTACCTTACCTTGAGGTTTATTGCCTTACCTGACCTTACACACCTGCCGCCACTGGTACTTCCTCTTCATTTCGGAGACCAGATCCATCCCTTACTCTACCTTGGGCGCGTCATCGTCGTGTCTCTCTCTCACACACATTTCCCCTGAGTAGCTTCACATCTTTGACTGTCCCGCAACTTATTCTCTCTCTCTCTCTCCTGGTGTGCTGCCATATCATGCGCCTAGACCCGTCAGACGACGCAGCCCGCAGACATGGCTGAGCACCAACCCAGAGTTTCGTTTGGCTCCTCGCCGAGCGGCGGCGGCGGCAGCAACACAGACATGTACGGCTTCCCGCCCGAAAACTTTAGCACCGACGGCCTGCCCGAGTTCGACACAAAGTTCCTCAGCGACGCCGACCTCGCCGCCTTCATACAGGCCCTCCAGGCCCCCGACCCGTTGCAGTCTCCCGACGAGACCACGTCCCTGCGGTCCCCCGGTCTTAGGAGTAACAGCTCGCTGGACGTCACGAAGCGAGGGTCCGTCTACGAAGATGACAGGGAGGATCCGTCGGCTGTCGCAGCCGCGGCGGCTGCTGCCGCCGGCGACGTCACGGCACCGGGACCGGGGATGCTGAATCGCACTTATACCAACGGCGGCGGCGCGTATAACAACGGCTCGGCGATGCAGTCCAACATGTTCATCACGGCGCAGAACGACTGGGCGCCCGTCAACCAAAAGATATCAAAGAGGGGATCTCGGCGGAGGAGGAACCGGGCCAAGGGGGCGGCCGAGGCGCTCCTGGGCACCAGGACAAAAGACGAGACGCGGGAGGGCATCTTTTACGCACTCCTCAAGTGGCCGATGCTCTTCTTCGTCGGCGCCTGGCTCGCGGGTCTGGCGCTCACGTACCTGTACACGCGGCTGTACATCTGGGTCTACGAGCATTTCGTCACCTGGCGCGGCACCCGGGAGAGGCTGCGGCGGAGCATGCGCCGGACCAATAACTACCGCGACTGGGTGGTCGCGGCCAAGGAGCTGGATAGCTACCTCGACCGGCAGCGGTGGAAGGAGGAGAACGATTTCGCCTACTACGACTCCAAGACGGTTAAGAGGGTATGGGACCAGATGCGCAAGTGCAGGCAGAGGGCCGAGGCGGCGGAGAACGGGGAGACGGAGGACGAGGGGGCGCAGCCGGACGCCAAGGGGTCGACGGGGAAGCCTGCTGTTGAAGAGCTTCATGCGCTGCTGTCGGCGTGCGTGAAGAGCAACTTTGTTGGTGTTGAGAATCCCAGGTTATACAGCCAGACGTACTATGGCACCAAGAACCTGGTGCAGAACTTTATCGACGAAGGTATGTATTCGCAGCTGTGTTTAACGGTGTTTGGCGGATTGGCTAACTGTGTCCAGTCGAGAGGAGCATCAAGTTTATCCTGAGCACGAACCAACTGTCGATGGAGGAGAAGCGTTCCATCTTCAAGGGCATGCACGCAAACTATGGACGGACGGCCCTCTGCCTCTCGGGCGGCGCATCCTTTGCCTACTACCACTTTGGTGTCATCAAAGCTCTCCTCGAGGCGGACCTGCTACCGGACGTAATCACCGGCACCAGCGGCGGCGCTCTAGTCGCGGCACTCGTAGCTACACGGACGGACGACGAGCTGAGGCAGCTCCTCGTGCCGGCGCTCGCGCACCGCATCACGGCGTGCCGCGAGATGTTCTGGACGTGGATCCCGCGGTGGTGGAAGACGGGCGCCCGCTTCGACTCGGTCGACTGGGCGAAGCAGTGCAGCTGGTGGGCGCGGGGTTCCATGACCTTCCGGGAGGCGTACGAGCGGACGGGCCGCATCCTCAACGTCTCGTGCGTTCCTGCTGACCCGCACTCGCCCACCATCCTCTGCAACTACCTCACCAGCCCGGACTGCGTCATCTGGTCCGCCGTGCTGGCGTCCGCCGCCGTGCCGGGTATCCTTAACCCCGTTGTGCTGATGATGAAGCAGCGGGACGGGACGCTGGTGCCCTACTCTTTCGGACACAAGTGGAAGGACGGCAGCCTGCGGACCGATATCCCCATCAAGGCCTTGAATATGCACTTCAACGTAAACTTCACCGTCGTCAGCCAGGTCAACCCGCACATCAACCTCTTCTTCTTCTCCTCGCGCGGCTCCGTCGGACACCCCGTCACGCACCGCAAGGGCAAAGGCTGGCGCGGCGGATACGTCATGTCGGCGGTGGAGCACTACCTCAAGCTGGACATGACGAAATGGCTCAAGTTCATCCGCCACGCCGAGCTTCTCCCCCGACCGTTGGGCCAGGACTGGTCGCAGCTCTTCTTGCAGACGTTTAGCGGTACCATTACCGTGTGGCCCAAGACTGTGCCTTCGGACTTTGTGCATATCCTCTCGGACCCGGACCCGCCGCGGTTGGCGCGCATGATTCACGAGGGTCAGCAGCGCGGGTACCCTATCCTGAAGTTTGTCGGGAATAGGCTCAAGATTGAGAGGTTGATTGAGCAGGGGAGGCGGGAGACGAGGCCTTGGATCCGGAGGGGGAGTATCGAGACGATTCTCAGTGAGGATGATCTTAGGAGTTTGCTTATTTCTGGGAATACTGATATTGAGGATGAGACTACGGATGCGGAGGGGGAGACGTTGCTGGAGAATGAGGAGAATGAGGAGGCTGTTGTCGATGACGAGGGGGAGTATGAGGAGGACGAGTATGAGGATGGGGAGGGTGAGTATGAGGGTGAGGATGAGGATGGGGAGGGCGAGGGCGAGGAGTATAGGGGGGAGGGAAAGATGAATTAGGCCCGGGTAGGGGTTTCTGGTGATGATACTGGACCTCGTTGAATAGAGTGTACGGGTCATTGTGAGAGTATGGTGGGTTACATATTAGTTAAAAGAGAGGTTTCTTTTCTTCATCAAAAGACCTCGGGGGGGGGGGGGAGTGTGAGAAAGTGTAGCATAGCTTGGGCGTTTATGGTAAATCCTGATGTTGATGGAAGTACATCCCCTTTGATATCTCATAGAGTGGCTTCAAAGTTATATGGTTATATGTGAGTATGCACCCATGAGAGCCTCTAGGCACGCTATTGGCAAATGTCTCAACTTGCTCCTGTTCGTCTTGGAGGCCAGACACTTCATGTTGCTTAAGGTAGGTGCCGTATCTACATGTGACCTCTCGTAGCATGTTACTCACTGGTACCTCCTTTTGAGATGATTGGATTGCCGATTGTGACTGGTTGTGAAGTAAAGCAGCCAAAATTCCTACAGCTTGAACCTCATGAATTGAGATTGGCGGCGTCATGTAGGGAGTCGTCTGCAGGCCGGCCGTTTTACCGTCGCTGATTCGGACTAGTGATGCCGAGAGACGGTTGCACGGGAATTAGGTAAGCATGGCACGGGTAAGGTACGGAGTGGAGAC